AGTGGGCATTATAAGCTTGCCCGTCGCGGGTAGGAGAACGGGACTGACAATTACAAATCATTCATTTCGTTTATTTTATATTTGTTAAAAGCAGATACATACAATCAAGACACAAAATAACTTATTTTTTTCTTAATCATATCGAAATGCCAAACATGTCACAACCTTGCTTCATTTCATTATAAATAGAAGCCAACAAGTCTATCAAGAAACTCCAACTATAGAGCACTGCAAAGTATTCATTTCAATCGAAAAAAATCTCTCCACTTAATTCTTTTTTCATCTATCAAGAATATGTCATCCGGTTGTAACTGTGGCAGTGGCTCCAGCTGCTCTTGCGGAAGCAACTGCAGGTAAACTTTCGACTTAATATTCCTACTATATGAAGGATTTTATGTTAATTTACTTATAAGTAATTCTTTTTGTGTTGGAAGTTGCGGCAAAATGTACCCGGACGTTGAGAACAGCACGACAGTTACCATCATCGAAGGGATTGCACCAACGAAGATGTAAGTCCAATCAAAGGGTCGATTACATAATTTCTTTTTGAATACTGTGATTATTGTATCTATAAAGAATTCGAAAAACTTATAATAATTATAATAGGCCGTGTTAGTTTTGATGATCGCTCTTTTAAATGGGAGCTGAATGATTTTATTACTTTATTTCTATTAATTCTTGCAATCAAGATATCATATTTAGCTTATGCTTTCCTATTAAAGCACTACTTCAGCTGTTTTAGAATAATATTTCAAAAAATTTAGAGATATATTATTATTTGAATTTTCTTATAATTCGCTCGAACTTGATTTTAATAAATTCGAAGTATTCGGTAGAATCAACCAGTATTCATTAAAGGTATTCATCGAGTTTTTCTCTTCTTTGTCCGTCAAGAGCCTTTTTATTATACATAACATAATTCAACCAGAGTTAACTTTCACTTGTTGATCTTAATTTTACGGGACCTTTGCAGGTACTCCGAGGGATCTGAGAAAAGCCTAAGTGCTGAAGGAGGCCATGCCTGCAAGTGTGGAGCAAACTGCACATGTGACCCGTGCACCTGTTGAAGACAGAATATGGTTTAAGCCCCTCGAAGTAGCTATGGATGATGTTGTGTGTACTAAACATATTATAATAAGACAGCCTAAACTTGGACAAATTCATTTGCTGGATTTGTCTGGTGTTTACTGGCTGTTATCTCTGTAATTTATGATTGCAGTTTGGTTACTGGGCTTCAATTTCTGTGTGAAGACTTGACATCAATATATATAGATCCTTTTATTATTGCGTAAACTTCTAATCATGCCCCCTTCACTGTCTAGCCAATCAAATTTTGAGTTCAATTTAGTTTTTTTAATATATGTTTCTTGAAAGCTGAATTGTGTTCTACTCATATTTTGCCACTAAAAAATTATATTGCTGTGTCAAAATTTGATTTATGAGTCAACCAATGGGACAAGGAGATGAAGATAGTAGATTTGGACTCTTCTTTTAGTACCTTAAATCTTTTACAGACCAACTGGGTTGGTCCTTACAGGTCGTTGGTCTATACTATCAAGTATAATACGGTGAAACAAAATGTGAATCACTCCACCTCGAGCTGGCTGATTTTGATTTCTTTTTTAACATGTTGGGTCGTCTTGATCGTAGGCCTTCCACAATGAATAGCCACTTCCACAACCCACACCCCTTGAATGCTTACTGCCACTTTCCTCTTTGGCACCACCACATTTCTCTTTGGATTTGTAGTTGTAGCCAGTGTTGGATCTGCGGTCGACCACCACCATCGCCATACCAAGATCTATTTAGTTACACACAAATCCAAACTTCGGCCATCACCATGACTGTCGAAAGGAGTGTTGGAAGGCTTGAACGTACATCGGCCTGATTGCAATCATAGTCTTAGGACACTACATTCCATATTGCAGCCTCTCTTCTCTTTGAACCCTCTCAATTATTTGGCGAGCCTTCAAAACCCCCTCCGAATCTGCATGTGGCTTAGGCCATATTAGTATCTCGTGCCTCCGTTCCATAACTCTAATCCCCTCCGCTGTCATACCATTTGCTGTGGAAAGCAGAATAGAGGTTGGCGGAAACAGTGATGGTGGCAGCGGCTACAAATCTAGTGGTTAGTTGGGGATTTGGGGTGGCAATCGTGGTATGGCTATAAATTTGGCGATTGTTAGTTATTTTTAATGAGGTGGAGGTGAAGGTGGAGGTGGTGGCAGTGGGATGTTGTGGTGGTGCTGGAGGTGGAGGTGGAGGTGATATGGTTTTGAGAGAAGGTGGTGTTGAAAATTTACTTAATCACGAGTAGCGGAAAAAAAAAAAAAAAAATTCAATTTCCACCAAAAATTTACTTTGTGATTGGAAAAAAATTATGATAGAATTATTACTTACGTATATTTTGCAAACTCCTTAGTTGATATTGGAATACGAAAAAGAGTCATAAATAACGTGTAGGTAACATTACATTTAATGATTAATTTAATATTTTGCTATTGTCCATTAGTTCAAAACATTGACTATTGATGCAACATTTACCTAACAGTTTTTTAATTATTAAACACATGAAAGACACTTGGGGCACATAGGATTCCGTGAATCTCGAAGATATTTTATATATGAACAAATATTTTTGACAAAAGTATGACAATTGAAAAATGAATCTTGATTCTTGAATTAAGTACACGCGCGTTAGTCCTCGGATAAGTTTACCCTAAATGAGTACTAGAAAAGAGGTTTGAAAAGTTTTATTATAAGGTTTCGTAGAAGTAAATGAAAGGATTTCGTTATAAGATTTGATCAAGTTTTATGCTTGAGCGCCACTTTACCGAAACATTTTATCATTACCCGAATTTAAGACTTGCTATGA